CTCTGCTTTACTCTGCACCCCAGGAGTAGCATTAACTAGGCACTAGCCCTCTGGCTGCCTGTTGGGGTGATCAACTGGGAGGCACAAAGAGAAAACTGAAAGCTGAAAATCGAGCTCCGTATATTTATTCCCCCAGGATCCTCCCTGCCAGGCTGAAGGAGGCAGTAGCCCCACTCTTCTATCAAAGACCATAGCTCCTGTAAGCTAAGTCTTTCCTACAGGTACAGTAGGTTCTTGTAACCTCTCCCTTCCTTTGTTCTTTCAGGTTTAGAAGTGATAACTATTTGTCGTTGCTAACCTAGGGTGCTCCTCCAACTTTTGTTGGTTTCTCTTAACCCTAAGTAGTCCCTTCATTACTTCCCTCAATTAATCTGTAGAATGCGCCTTCTGGGACCCTAGCCCATAGGCCATCTAACCAATCTTTCCAATGGGAGACGTAAAAATCATCTACAACTCCTTTCTAGCATTCCTAGTTAAGAGTCATCTGCAATTCCTTTCTGCCTATCATTGTGCCAGGGGTAGAGGATGTGGAAAGGGGAACGTCTGATTAAAAATGGCTCAATCACTTGCTATCTTCATGCCCTTAAGAAATTTACTTATCCTCCATTCTTTCAGCTGCTTTACTTATAAAAATAAGGATGAAAATAGTATCCATTTTAAAAAAAAATAGCATCTACCTCATGGGGTTACTGTGAAGATTAACTGAGGTCATACACACAAAACCTTAGAAGATGGTCTTACATGTAGTATGTATATAATAAATGTTCACTATCAGTCAATCATGTCAACTCTATTTCTAGGCCATTTTACTAATGATACCTCCATTCAGGGATAAATCATTTCCACCCTAGATTATTACAGTAACCTTTTAACGAGACTCTTTAATCCTCATAACTTCCATACCCAATTTACACAACCCAACACACCTAAAGTATCCTTCCATGAAGTATAAGGCAAATAATCATATGTAAGGGATTTTGAAAGAGAAGTTCCTTAAATGAGGATACGGGACTTAATAAACCTTTAAGAATCCTTATAAATCTAAGATTCTGTGATTCTAATGAAAAGGTTACATTTTTAAACAGCTCATCTTAAGTAAACAAGTTTGAGAGGGAAGTTGATGTCCTCACTCAAAGAAAACCGGCTCTCACTGAGATTTTGATCTAGTTAATACAGATCTCCCTGAAAGAATAAATTATTTGGGTTATCAAGAACTTTTCCTAGAACAGATATATCAACAATCCATACATCTAAACTGGGGCGGGCGGGCAGTTTGCTAGGTTTTAAACACCTTATCTAGAGCTTCAGTGTAAAGCACTGCCACCTCAACAAGGTCAGCCGAGAATCAGAAAACACAAGTAGCCTCTTAACAGCCAAGTTAAAAAGTCAGTGCACGTACCAACCTTAACTTTTTTCATAGAAAAAAATCTCGCTGTGGACTTATTCTTCTTTCATACACGATTCTAAAATGTTTGGTAATACGGACTTTCATACTCCGCAACAGATTAAAAGAAATAAAACGTTAATCAGGAAACAGGAAAAAAAAGAAAAGAGAGAATTGAGGTGGCAGACAATACAGCACAGCCATGGCCCTTAGAGTCATATAGACTTTTGAGTTCTAATTATTACCTATTCTCGAAACACAGTTACCTGGACGGAAAAAGTTTCTAAGTACTGTAAAGGATGGACTGTTATTGCTTATAACCGCTGAGGATATACTTACCACAACAGATTTTCTCTGGAAGTTTATGTTGTTGATGCAGACGACCTGATGAGTTGTACATTAAAGAATAAAGAAAATATTTCAGTTATTAAATAATGCATAACTCTATCCAAGTACAAACAAGAACTGTGTTCTAGGCAGCTCAGAATCACACTTATCTTTCATGCTAAAACCCTACAAATTAGGGTAACTTGCTCATTTTAAATTTAGCAACAGCCACGAAAATAAATTTCTTTGGGCAAAAATGCAACTTAGTACTTTAAGAAAAAGGTTTATTAACCTGCAAGCAGCAGTAGATCTGCTGAATTACACTGTCATTCAAACCATTTTCGCCCTACAAACACCATTCCCATCACCGTGAGTGGCTCCCAGTTTCCCACTAGGCCTCCCAGGCCCACGAAATCAGTTTCAAGCAATCACAAAATATAATTAATGAAAACCAAACGTAAAAGAAAGGGAGATGAAAAAATACTTATAATTTATAAGGCCTTGGGCTTTCAAAGCCCTTGTCTCCTTTCTTCCTGTTCATTCTGGCGGGCTCTAAACCAGTCGGCGGCATGAAGGGACCCCGCGGAGCTCGGCTTCCCGGCTTCCCGGGGGGCGGCGGGGCATTACCGGTCTCCGGCACCTGACACTCCCCGCTCCCCCGCGCACCCAACAGTCACACCCCGCGGCCGAGGCTCCCTCGGCACCCACTCCCGGCCCTGCCCGATCTGCCGCCGCCAACGCCTCCAACTCGCTCCCGCGATTCGGCTCCGTCAGCTGTCTCCGCCGAGCTTCTGTCACGGAGATGCTCCTCACACCAAGCTCCGACGGCTCCAGGCAGCCGACATCTTGCCGGTCACCTCTGACCTGCGACGTCAGCGGAAGTGGGACAGCCGTGAGGGCAGGAGTCGGAAGTTACGTGTCAGTGGGCGGGGCTTGCCCGAGTGCTGGAGTTTTTGTTTTCGTGTATTCGTATACGGACGGTGGGTGAGCACTGTTAAAATTTCGGAAAGCGGCCAGAGATATTTTGTGGGTGAGGCGAACACAGCGAGAAGGAAAGAAGGAAACACTAAATTTTAGAGGACTAAAGATTTAGCGCAAACATATTGAACAGTATGGGGAAAAGGTTTTCGAAGAGCCAGGGGCTGGCGACTAGGAACCCGGGAAATAGGAAACTAGGAGAGGTGTGCCTCTGGTCCGCTGTGTGAAAAGACACCATAAATTCACTGGAGCTCAGTGATTTAGGCTGTAAAATACGTGATTAGACCTCAAGGAGTCTAAATCGAATTCCGGAGTCCTCACTAGGCAGTGCTGCCTCAGTGTTTATTGAGAAAAACATAAAATTAGTGGATTATATAGATGCAGAATTTATTGAAAAACCGGACAAATATTTTAAAGCCATCGTATTTGCATTTTATGCATGAGAATAAAAGTTGTAAATTCCACTAAGTTAAATCTTGGTTAATTGTGGATTATGCAGTTAAAAAAAAAATTAACTTCGGACCAGATTTAACCTTGGCCTACCCCTTCCAACTGTCTTGGTGACAAGTTCATTAGCTAACTTAAAATTTGAACTTTGGTCTAAACGAAAACACACTAGGAAAGTAAAGATGTAAAGGAACTTTATCAAGCATTCCAAAACCAGCCAGAGATTACTTGTAGTTTTCAAGAATTACCTGTGTCAGTATCCTTTATTATAGGATTATAAACTACTGTTAGCATTCTTCATTTAGGATTAGTATTGAAATGGGTCTTCTTGAATTATAAACTTTAACACCATTTGGCATGGAAGATGGGGGGGATATTTAGGGAGATAGATGCAATTGGTTTAAAGAGAGGTCACTGGATTAAGGAAAGAATGGGAGACAAAGAAGCAGACGGGGAGTACGCAAACTTTCATCCCAGAGTGCATATCTGAGGTGGGAAGTAGATGGGCCCCTGGGCTGGACACCTGGTGTCTGTCAAGTGAAGTAAAATTGAAGCTTTGTTTTCCCCCCTATACGCCAAGCATAAAGCTAGTGGCAGAAGCTGACCTCTGCTGATGTAAAGAGATGAGGTGACCACTCCTGAGGTCAAGAAAATTCCCCTGACTGCACAGGCACAGGAAGGCTCCTTGGAGGTCAAAAAAGAGAGGGGTGCCACCCATGATATGTGTGGACACATCCCCACAAGCCTCTGCGGTGGAATCCACCTTAGCAAAAAGTTGGGCACGCGTGTTAGGGAGTGTCCTAGAACAGGTTAGATGTGGGAAAAGAAACAAGATAATTGGCCAAAGGTAAACAAAGACCCAGAAAAACTGTCTTATGTAAGTGATTTAAATCACCTCTTTCCTGCGCTCCTCAGTAGGGAGGACACCCACACCCTATCTCTCTGAGTGTGTATTTCTGCCTTGCTTCTGTCTTAAACAATCTGTTTCTCTGTGTGCTCTCCCACTTGTGCCATGTCTCTAATAATAAACTTTGTACCTGTTTTTACAGTTTTTGCCTTCTAGAAACATTCTTGCTTTCAAACCGCGCAAGAGCCAGGGGAACTTTGCTTCTCACCTCTAGCCCCTGGTGGACTAGTGGCTAGGATCCCTGGTTTTCATCCAGGTACCCAGGTTCAATTCCTGGACAGGGAACTAAGATCTCTCTTTAGAACCGCTCACTGCTGTCTCTCTGAAATCATATCTACATCAGCCAGGTGAACAGGAGCAGCTGTCAAGCCAATTTCATCAATATAAACAACTAATTTAGATAAATGATACAGCATCATGTGACCTCCTGTTTGGGTAGAAAGTCAAAAGTAGAGGGGAACTGACTTGAGAAATGACATTTAAGTGAATAAATAATTCTCTTCTAGGAAACTATTTAGCTCTCTGAAAACTTTTAAATGTATTAATAATTAGAATGTCAAATCCTAATTAAAGAAATGCAATTTTAAATATAAAAAAATCAAAACTGTTATTCTATAAATAAACCCACAAAGACTACTAAGAGACACTAAATATAGGAAATAACACTTTCTTTTGTCGTTGTTTTCACTGTGTACATAATACAAATATAACCTGAAAGATATAAAATACCCTATTACGTTTAAGGAAAAAAAGAGCAGTAGTTTGAAAATGCTTAAGATGAGAAAAATGCCTCAAAAGGGCTTCCCTGGTGGCGCAGTGGTTGAGAGTCCGCCTGCCAATGCAGGGGACACGGGTTCATGCCCTGGTCCGGGAAGATCCCACATGCCGCGGAGCGGCTGGGCCTGTGAGCCATGGCCGCTGAGCCTGCGCGTCCAGAGCCTGTGCTCCGCAATGGGAGAGGCCACAACAGTGAGAGGCCCGCGTACTGCCAAAAAAAAAAAATGCCTCAAAGAATTAGGTTTTTAAAAGTCTGGAATACAAATACATAAAAAGTCTTCTTATAACCAGCAACTTTACAAAGCAACTTTAGTCACAAAGACAAGACTGTTGTTCTTTTTAAGAAATGGGTCTTCTTGAGTTATAAACTTTAACACCGTTTTGAATCGAAGATCGAGAATATTTAGTGAGTAATGCACCAATGGTTTGCTTCTCTCCACACAAATCTCTGTGGGAACAGTAAAAAAATTAATCAACATCATAAATATTCTAGGGAACATAACACAATTTTCACAGCACTAGCTATTTATATCTCTCTCCCCCAAATCCATCTTTCCAACAAACATAAGGGTGTGTATTTGTGGGAGAGATAGGGTAGGGAGAGATTACTAAGCCATAAGTGAACAAGGTACATCACATGCATGTATGATCTCCAACCTGCACGGTAAGAGTAATGTATTATTTAACCCCACGTTAGATATAAGGAAACTGAGGTTCAGGTGGTAAAGGATGGAGCCAAGTTTTGCAGCCGGCTCTGTAGGTCTCCAAAGTCTGGGTTTTTTCCATTATATCACACAGGCTTCCAAATCAGACATAAAAGCAATGTGATACAGTAGGGTCTAGACTCAGAGAACCTGGATACCCAGTTACCTGTGTGAGCTTATCTAGGTTACCTACCCTACCTGAGTTTTAGCTTCCTCTTCTGTACCTCAAAGGAGAGAAGACTTTGACTGGAACATCATGAGGGAAGGGAAGATATGGGAGGACCTGAGCTGGAGAAGGGATCAAGGGAAGATCACACAGGGCCTTGAAGAACATGAGAGGGAGTTGTAATTTAATTGTACATATAATGGGAAGCCAGTGGAGGGTTTTATTTCGTAGAAAAGCATAATGTGATCTAAGTTTTAAATAATGGAGGCAATGAGTTGATGATTATGGAAGCTAGGTAGTAAGTACATGGAGGGTTCCTTATATTTTACTGTTACTTTTGAATGTTTAAAATTTTCCAGAAGTTTAAAAGGGGGGAGAGGAGAAGGGAGCAAAAACTAAAATAGAGAGACCAATCAGAGGCAGGTATGAGATGATCCATCAGCATTTGCTCAAAGTTTGAAACAGGGGGCAAGAGAAAAAAAGACAAGGAAGATTTCTAGACATTTTGCTTGGGTAACTGGATTAATGGTAGTGCTGGTAGCTGAGATGAGGGTGATGGGGTTAGGACAGGGGGAATCAACAGTTCCATTATGAGCATGTTTGAAATTCCTATTAGATATCCAAGCAGAAATTTAGATTAGGTAACTAGATGTAAGAATCTGGAGCTCAGGAAAAAGGTCAAGTACGAAGATAAAATTAGGAAGTCACTGGGCTTACATGAGGGCACCAAAAGAAAAAATACAAAATGAAAAGAAGATAGCCAATAATAGAATGCTAGAGCACTCCGACATTTAAAGATTGGGAAAACAAGGAGACATCAGCAAGAGATGGAAAAGGAGCTGCCTTGGGGGAGAAGGGAGAAGGCTGGTGTGTTTCAAGTAGGAAGTGGTCCACTGCGTCAAATAGTGTTAAGAGGCCAAGTAAACAAGGCCAGACAACTGACCACTGAATGTAAAAAAGATAGATGCCATCGGGTTAAGGAAGGAATGGGAGACAGAGCAGCAGAGAGAGTACACAAACTTTTAAAGGGAGCTTTCTTGTGAAGGAGAGCAGAGGACGTGGGGTACCGTAGACTGTTATTTTTTTTTTTAAGATGAACAGTACTACAGAATACTGTTCATAGTGACACATGTGTTGCTGGCCATAATCTAGTTGGTGGGAGACGTTGATAACACAACACGGGAAGGGACAACTAGAGGATCCTTTTAACAAGGGGAGGATCAGAGGGGATGGATCTAGTGCAGAAGGAGGGTTGGCCTTAGGAGCAAGGACAGTTCATGCATCACACAGGATGGACGGCAGAGCAAGTGTGTGCCCACACAGGAGGCTGGCAGGCTAGGCCATGGGAAAGGAGGTAGTTGTCTTGTCTTGTCTGCTTCTGTTTTCTCAAGAAATATGGTCGTGGGCTTCCCTGGTGGTAGAGTGGTTAAGAATCTGCCTGCCAATGCAGGGGACACAGGTTCGAGCTCTGGTCTAAGAAGATCCCACATGCCGCGGAGCAACTAAGCCGTGTGCCACAACTACTGAGCCTGCGTTCTAGAGCGCGAGCCACAACTACTGAGACCATGCGCCACAACTACTAAAGCCCACGCGCCTATAGCCCGTGCTCTGCAACTGCAACAAGGGAAGACACCGCAATGAGAAGCCCGCGCACTGCAATGAAGAGGAGACCCTGATCGCCTCAACTAGAGAAAGCCCATGCACGGCAACGAAGACCCAATGCAGCCAAAAAAGAAAATACGGTCATAAGCTGAGGATGAAGAGGAAACGGGGTATTGCTGCTATGAAAAGAGAAAAAAAGATGTAAAGTAAGTTCCAATGGTTGAAAAGTTTCATGAGGAAATGGTGCCTTGTCAGGGGCCCTGCTAATTACCACTTAAGTTTTTAAGTGAGACTAGCAAGCCACACTGTGTCATTTCTCTCCAGGAAATTTCAGCTGCCCTGGTGCAGGTACAGAGTAAACAGAAAGTTGGGTTTAATCTTTGCAGATTTTTGCCAATGAGGTATGACAAGACACAGAGATAGGGTGCAAAGAGTAGAGCGGGTACAGTAAGAGTTAGAAAGACTGACCCTGGAAAGCAAGCCGGGGAAAGAGAAGAGAGAGGCCCTGAGAGGCGGGAGATGCAGTGAGGAAGTGGTAGTGTTTATTAGTGGCTTTGAGATTGGTTCTACAAGCAGTGGCTTCAGGGCTAACTTGTTCTTCCACAGTCTGGCTTCTACCAGAATGTTAAAGTAAGGGAGTGGGAAAGAAAGAAGGTGGCCATCAGAGAGGGGTGCTTGCCTTAGAGTCATAGGAGGGTATATAGTTGACTGTCCCTCTATGAGCTGCAGTTTGAAAGGAGAAGAGCAACGAAGTGATTCTAGAAGCAGTAGTAAGGAAGAGAGATGACACATACCCCACCCTCCCAGATCAGCAGTTGTGAAGAATGATAGAGAAGACAGCCACCACTGGAGAAAGTCTGGAAGGAAGCAGTGTCTTCCAGGAATACTCAAAAAAAAAAAAAAAAAAATTCTGATAATCTAAAACCCTATGCCACTCATCATAAGAACAGTCAAAATCCATTTGTGGGTTTCCCTGGTGGCGCAGTGGTTGACAGTCCGCCTGCCGATGCAGGGGACACAGGTTCATGCCCCGGTCTGGGAGGATCCCACATGCTGCGGAGCGGCTGAGCCCGTGAGCCGTGGCCGCTGAGCCTGCGCGTCCGGAGTCTGTGCTCTGCAGCAGGAGGGGCCACAGCGGTGAGAGGCCCGCGTACCGTAAAAAAAAAAAAAAAAAAAAATCAATTTGTAAGAAATTACTTACTCAATATATGGAGCAATGTCTTCTTCTGTCCACTTCTCCCTCAGAGAGAAGAGACTGTTAAACCGTTCCTGATTATCCTCAGGCAAATCATCTACTTTCAGCAAAAATATGATTTCTGGTCTTGAGTGTCTATCCACCAAGGCTAAACCCTGTAAGAAATGAGAAAAAGGACAGTTCAAGTAATGGTCTGATGTTTAAAAATGACTCATTTACCTTACGTTTAGCTTAGCCCAAGGTATTTAAAACATCATCCACATGAAACTTACACAAACTACCCAGAAACTTACAATAGCCTTTTTCATAAAAGAGCTCCTCTAAGCAGTGACTTACTTGTAACCTGGCTTTTACTACCACCAATTTCTTGAGATGGCTCTAGTTCTAAAGGTCACTGATGACCTGTCGTTGCCAAATCCAGTGGGCCCTTTTCTTGGATTCATCTCGCTAGACCCGTTTATTTTGTTAGTGTTGGTCACTCCTTCCTCTAAGCCTTTAAGCCTGCATCACGATCTCATTATTTTTCTCCTAACCTGATGTTGTAGTTCCCTGGCCCCCTACCCCATCCCGCTACTTGTTTCACCGTCACTGTCCTAGGTAACCTTTCTAAACCCGTGACTTCAGCCACCACTTACTTGCAAATATTACAGTCATCAGCAAGTATCTTCAACTCAAATCCCTCTTCCAAGCACCAGACCTCTATATCCAAACCTATATATGCACTCATTGTGTTTGTCATCCAAACCTGTTCTCATCCTGCTAATCCTAGGAAACCAAGGCATCATCCTAGATTCCATTATTCAAACCCCACATGTAAGTGGTCACTAAGTCATATAGATTTTAAGGTCTTAACATTTCTCTATCCTTTCCCCACCACCTATTTCTTTGGCCAATACTCTCTTAGTTAGGAGTAAAGTATTGGAAACCTAAATTTTTCATAATCTAGCCAACCTTCCATCAATCCATCCTCATTACTGTCATAGTGTTCTTTCCAAAAGGCAAAACTCATCAGGTAGCATTTCTAACTGATGCCACTCAATGGCCCCAAAGAGCTTTCTAGATAGAGTTGAAATTCCTTAGCACAGTCCATAGTGTCCTTCACCAACTCACCAGCACCCTTCCCTCCAGTCATGCATCCCTACTGTGTGTCCCAATTTTTATCCCTCCATGCTCTCCTGGAACCTTGTCTCTCCTGGAACCTTGTCTCTGCCCTTCCGTCTAGAGTAACACATGATCCTTTCATACTCGGCAGCTAAAACATTCATTCCTTCAGAAAATCATCCCTGATTGACCAGTCAGATGGATAAGCCCCTTCATTTGCTCCCATAACACCTTGTGCATGCTTTTCCCATGGCACAGATCACTCTACATTGTCAGAAGAGATATATACATGTAATGTGCACCCCCACTGCCGGACCCCAGGCTGAGGACCTAGATGGCACCTTGTGTGACGTTTTCTGCTCAGCATCTAGCAAGGTGTTTAGACATAAAAGGAACTCTGTAAATATTGAGCAAATACTCTCACTTATTTAATAAATTCTCTTTGAGCATATACTACATGCCAGGCAGTATGCTATATATTGGCAAGCAACAGTGAAAAAAATTCTATTAAAGTGGAGAGCAGGGAACCACATAATGAAACATTTTTCTGAAGCTAAGTGAGAGTACCATGAAGGAGAAATCCAGGGTGCCATGGAGAGTAAAACAGGAAGTATTTTTTTTAGAGTAAAGGAAGGCCTCCTTGATGAAGTGACTCAAAGATGTGTAGGAGGTGGCCAGGTGAAACTGGGGAGAAGTTTATTCTAGAACAAAAAGCTTTGTGTAAAAGTCCTAAGGTAGGAAAGAGCTTGATGATCTTAAAAATCTGAAAGAAGGCTGGTATGCAGTAGACAGGAGAGAAAGTATCAAGAGATGAAGCTTACAGGGGATGGTATGAAGAGCCTTGTAGACCAAGATTTTACATATTTTATTGTAAAATATTATTTTATATTATAATACTCTGGATTTTATATCTTAAATGCAATGGGAAATCATTAAAGTGATTTAAGCAAGAAGTTCATCTAATCTGATGGACATTTTTGAAAGATCATTTTAGTAGCACCGCAGAGAATGGATTGGAGGTGGGCAGTTAAAAGTACAGAAGGCCCGCTTCGGGATGCTATTGTGAGCCAAACATGATAGTTTCAGCTAAGACAATGCTGATGGAAATGGAGAGAAAAGGAACAAAATGAGATACACCAGGTGGGAACCAGGATAAACTGTAAATGGGCCTGAGTGATCTCACTGAGTTGACAAATGTTCTAAAACTAGACTGTGGTGGCTGGTAACTCATTAAATTTACTACAAATCACCCTTTTCAAAAGGGTGAACTGTGATATGTAAATTACACTTCAATAAAGTGGGATTTTGGGGGGTTTTTTAAGGATTTTTGTGATGTAGAATGCACTCCTAATGGGGGGCTAGGAAAATAAACAGGCTCCAAATTCAGTTCCAATACAGGCTTCATTTCACCTAGTAACCTGCTGAGTTATGGAGGTAATCACCATCGCTACCTTACCTTAAGCTGATCGAGCCTAGTTATCACTCCTTCAGGAACACTCTGTTGCCACACTTCTTGAAACTCAGCGAGATTGAATTTCACTGCATTCTGAAGTAGCATTTCTGCTGTAGCTCTGCAGATTTTATCTGCACTCAATTCAAAATAAACTTCACCTAAGGAAAACGTATCAAAGAGAGTTTCATATGGTCCTCTGACAATTAATTATACTACTCATTTTTATACACAACTCATCTCCCATCACCCTATGGAGTTCTTATTTTTAACAGGAAGACACTTGAAAAAGGCATACCAATTTTAACACATAAGAGTTAAAATACCCATTAATATACTTTCCCAATCTTACCTTCCTCTGTATATCTCTTTCCATAACATTTAAGACAGTGTCCGATCATTTCCCTGAAAAATTTTAAACACTTATTTGAAAAGTTTTTCACATATTTATACATTATCTTTTAAACACCATTGCTAACTAGAAACTAAGATATAAATTTGAAATAACTAAAGGATTTTGGTTGCCAAGTATAAAACTTTACATTAGAAACTAACTAAAATACACTGGACAGTTACTATATACCAGGTCCCATGCTAAATATTTTTACACAAATTATATGACCATACCTTTATTATAAAATAGCTTAAATTATTCCTTTATATTTTTTATGGCAGAGAAAAAAAAGATACACATTTATTCACCCCCAATGACCAAAATTCCCAAGTCCTTCTTGGTTGTATATTCTTTAGATTTCTATATGATATCAAAATATAAATAGTCTATGCCCTGGGTTTAGTCCTACCCTGAAAATAATTTTCTTCCCCTTAAGGAAATCTGGAAGGACAATGAATAACATACTTACTCTGTCTCTAATGGTCCAAGTTCCTGAAGGCATGTATTCAAGGGAACTTTACTAAAAGACCAAGATTCAGAATCCACAAGCTGAGTTATGTGATTCAGAAGTTTCATCTCATAGTCAAATTCAAGAATCCTCCAATAACCTACAAATTCCAGAAGTTATATTTACCAAAGGACATTTTAAACAAATGAATTGGCTGACAGACCGATAAAGCAGCAGTAAACTCTTGCCCACTGCAAAAAGGAGACATGAAAAGCCTTAGCTTTCTTTATAAATAATGCTCCTGTTTATGCTTGTCTCCTGATCATTACAAATTGTGTCTTACGGGAGATCAGATGGTTTTTAAAGAGTACTTTTCATATGACTAACATTTTGATTTTTTTTCAAGTGCTTTAATACTCAATTATCTCACAATAATCTTGTCGTTCTAAATGGAAATGTGGAAACATGTAGCTGGTACAGTCATTTCATTAGAACGTCATACAAATGAGGTGAAGGTCATAGGCTGGATATCCCACACAGTGATCTCTGCTATGGGGCACTGCCATGGTTACAACCCTCATCTCAGCGATCTTGGAGAGGTGTTATCATGCTCATAAAGAAGTCTAGATCATTTAAGAGATAACAGACTCAGAAGTACAATGTGGACCAGCGGCAAAATGAAAGCTGAGCCTCAAGACACATTTCCCTATTCCTGTGAAAGACTATGAAATGCCATCTTATAACCAAAGGCACTACCACCACCCCTGGAGAAACAAATCACATACACACCCACCAATTCAAGGACACTCACACCAAGGGAGAATGTTCCTATTCTTACTCTGAAAAAATAAAGGCAATGTTAAAAAACGGAATGCGTGATGTAAAACTGAAAAAGAAAACTAGGAAAAAATAATCTTTGCATCCTCACACACACATACCCTCCAAAATGTTATCCATTCCCATGCAATAAGTGAATAATACAGAGGGCTGCATTAAGCCCATTGGTTCTTCTTTTTTTAACCTTAACATTCATGGTACCCCCTATACCATAGTAATTAGCAGCAGGCATCCACAATTAGAAACTTTATGCCCGATGATTAGGACCAAATGTGTCTCAAGGAACCACAACAAAGAGCTAAGTGTTTCCAGTTAGTTATAAAGTCATCTGCAGCTGCTTCACTCAGCAGAATTCACCACATTTGAGAGTTACAGTCTCACAAAAGCTAATCTTGCTTAAAAGATTTAGGAGTGCATCCACCAAACCATGCCAATTTCCTCCTTTCTAACACATGGGTGCAGAATTAAGCTGCTTCTCTGGGCAAGCTTAAGAGGGCTGAAAAAGGGCTTCCCTGGTGGCGCAGTGGTTGAGAGTCCACCTGCCGATGCAGGGGACACGGGTTCGTGTCCCGGTCCGGGAAGATCCCACATGCCGCGGAGCGGCTGGGCCCGTGAGCCATGGCCGCTGGGCCTGTGCATCCGGAGCCTGTGCTCTGCAACCAAAGAGGCCACAACAGTGAGAGGCCCGCGTACCACAAAAAAAAAAAAAAAGAGGGCTGATAAATGCACACAAACATCTACTCAAGTATTACTGCAGGCCCAGATGCCAGAAAAAAAAATAGCTCCTACTCTACCACTCCAGACCAGGAGATAATCAAAATACAAGATAGTACTGGGCTTCTCCATCAACCCCTGAGACCAACACATACCACTACAACTTTTATACAGGTTTCTTACGTAAACTACTTAACACATTTAAAAGTATGTTGAGTTATCACAAGAAGAAACACATCTTCCAAGCAATTTGGAAATACAGTGAGTTAATTCTGAACCAGGAGTTCAAGTACCTGGGTTTTATGCCTTATCCTGTCACTAACTCAACATGGAACCCTGGACAGGTCCGTTTCCCTTCCTAGGCCTTAGTTTCCTCACCTATTGAAAACAATGAAGGGATTAGACTACCTAATATCTAAGACCTTTCCTGATCTAATATGGTTCTTCTATTACCACTCAGTCCAAAGAAAAAGGCCTGTAAGGAGTAGAAAAAGTCACTGGTCAGAGACTGTAAAGGTGATCACACGTAGTCTCTACCCCACACCCCAAAATACAAATATCATCTCTGAGCCCAAAAGAAGGTTAAATAAATAGCATGGAACAGCAATAAACAGGTGAAGATGTCCAAAAATGTCTCTCATATAATGCCCAATTCCATCATTATTAATAATAGTAAGTCATGCTACCTCCAATCTCACAGGCATTTAGAACTTGTAACTGGGCCATTATTTCTTCCTCACTTGCCTGAATTTGATCAAGCAAATCTTCAGTTGTATACTGAAAAAAAAAAACAAAAAAAAAAAAAAAAAAAGCAAGCACATTTTAAGACCAAAGAATTTTTTTTAGACTTATTGAATAAATACATAGAAGAGATTAAGGCAAGGTACCCTAGTTTAATTTCTTTTATTAATCTGTAATGATTACTACATAAAATCAGTGGATTCTTAGAAGAAAACAGAGGATAACTCTTTGTGATGTTGGATGTGGCAATGGTTTTAGATATGGTGCCAAAAACACAAGCAACAAAAGACAGATAATGTGGACTTCATCAAAATGAAAACTTGTGTATTTCAAAACATCATCAACACAAAAGGACAAATACTGTATGATTCCACTTACATGGGAGATTTGGCATAGACAAATTCACAGAGACATGAAGTGGAATAGTGGTTGCCGGAGGTTGAGAGCCAGGGGAAACTGGGGAGTTAGTGTTTAATAGGTACAGAGTTTCAGGTTGGGAAGATGAAAATTTTCTATAGATGGATACTGGTGATGGTTGCAGAGCAATGTGAGTGTATGTAATGCCACAGAGCTGTACAGGTCAAAATGGTTAAAGTGGTAAATTTTATGTTCTGTTTATTTACCTCAATTTTAAAAAATCAAGAAAAGGCGACTCAAAATAGGAGAAAATATTTGCATATCATGTATCTGTCAAGGAGCTTGTATTTAGATTATATAAAGAACTCTCCTACAATTTAGTAATAAATAGATAAATAACCCAATTAAAAATTGGGCAAAGGGGTTTCTGTATAGGCATTCTCCAAAGATACAGAAATAGTCAACCAGCACATGAAAAGATGCTCAACATCATTAGTCATCAGGGAAGTGCACATCAAAACCACAGTGATACCACTTCAAACCCATTAGGATGGATACAGAAAAGACAGATAGAAACAATTGCTGTCTAGGACGTGGAGAAACTGGAACCCTCATACAATGGAAATGTCAAATAGTGCAGCCACTTTGGAAAACAGTCCGGGAGTTCCCCAAAAGGTTATACAGAGTAAGCACAGGGCCCATCAATTTCACCTTTAGGTAGGTATGTATGTATGTATGTATGTGTGTGTGTGTGTGTGTGTGTGTATATATCCAAGAATAATGAAAACATAGGTTCCCTAGAAACTTGTACATGAACGTTCACAACAGTGTTATCCATAATTATTAAATAATCAATAATATTCAAAAAGTAGAAACTACCCAAATGTCCATCAACTGATGAATGGATGAATAAACTATGGTATATCCATAAGATGGGGTACTATTCAGCAGTAAAAAGGAATGAACTACCGATGCATGCTACAACATGAACGAACCTTGAAAACAGCATGCTAAGCCAAAGAAGCCTGTCGGAAAAGGCCACTTACTGATTCTATTCATATGAAAGGTCCAGAAGAGGCAAATCAATAGAGACACAAAGTAGATTAGTGGCTGCCTAGGGTGGAGGTGGGAGAGAGAAGGAGGGAAAGGTAGGATTAGAAATTAACAGCTAAGGGGTACAGGGTTTCTTTTGGGGGTGGTGAAAATATTCTAAACTTCATTGTGATGACTGCATAACTCTGTTAATGTACTAAAAACCGGTGGATTATATACTTTAAAATGAGTAAATTGCTTGGTATATGAATTATATCTCAATAAAGCTGTTACAAAGAAAAAAAATTCAGTCAGTCAAACTTCTAATACAAATATGGTCTTCAGAATACCAGGAGAGTTCTATAACTTTGAATTATATTTAAAACTTAAATTTTTTTTTACCTGGTTTATAAATATTTTTCCATACTTCCAGGAATTAGTCCATTCTGACTTTCCATTTTCATAATGTCTTTTCTCAAGAGCCCCTAATTATAACTTTTAATTAAATAAATTATCTTAACCTCTAAAAAACTATTATTTCTTAGTTAGGAACATGAGAAGCTTTCAGCTACATAAATGTCACCATGATATCTAGGACTTGCTTTAAAATACTCCAGAAAAAGACAAAAAACAAAAAAGGTGGAAGGCAGCAGGTGGACAGAATAAATGAGATTGACAAAATATTGACAGATGTTCAAGAGAGTGATGAATATATGGAGATCTTTCTGTTTTGGGGTATGTTTGAAATTTTCATAATATGAACTTTAAAAAGAAGTCAGCATTAAGTGTCTCTACAGCTCTATTTTTTAAATTCCAAATTAAAAAATGAAAATACTAGTCTTACTTTTGAGTGATTTGAATCCTTTTCTTTTTGACTGTCAGGTCCTTCATAGGTATTTTCCATCAAAAGTTTCTTTAGCTTCTTTAATTTAGGTCTACATCTTCTTAATTCCCAGTAATTATTAGAAAAACCAAAGATCTAGAAATTACAAATACATCATAATATTTAGGGGCCATTCTAAAAGAAATCTTCATATAAAATTTCAACCAACCCATCTGCCCTCCACAAGAAGCAAGAAAAGGGAGCCAAAGTATTCTTTCTGTTGAGAAGGCCCCCATCCAGCCATCTCAAGCAGATGGATGGGTATCTTCAGGTAACATCTTTTCAATCCCCAGTTAAGAAGAGACTGCCAACATAGTGAGAATGGATAATTAAGCTCCATATCTCAAGTATACGCTGGAAACTAGAGTATGCCCAGAAAAGAATGACCAGGATGGTGAGAATTCTGCAAACCAGGTAGAAACACAGAAGAAGAATATCTTTAGGCTGACAAACAGAAAACAAAGAAAAAGCATTATCACTCTCTTCAAACAATTAATATATGATAAAGGGAAGGGGGGGAACCCTTGTTCTGTGTTGCTCATTATGTTAAGGAAGAAAGACTCCTATTCAATACAAGAACTTCCCACTAGTTAGAATTGCAACTAATTCCTTATGGACTTGTGAAACAGTGAGAGGCTTATCACTTAAAGAAATCCAGGTGACAGTGGCTAAATGATGGATAAATATTTATCTCTCTCTGTATCTCCAGGATGTGCCCAATGTCTAGCACTTAGTAGGTGCCCAATAACTGTTTCACATGAAAGAAGGGAAAAAGGCAGAAATGGATTGTCTCCTTCCAGCTCTAACATGCAAGGTCAGGGAATGCATCTACTCTAAAACTAGTAGAAGCCTTGATTGACAACACAAGGCCCAGAGCCTAATGGAGATGCTGCTGAATCTGAGAAAAGTTTAAGGACCAAAACACAAAGATTGATTTCATCCACAGTTCACAAATTGGCAGCCTGCTGGCTGTATCCAATGCACAGATGGTGTGTACTTTTGTGTTGGGGAAAAAGGGAGGTTTAGTATAGAGTTTTCATTAGTTGTCAACATCGAAAAATAAGATGTTGCCCCCCAAAATCTAAATTTTAAGCTTCACTTGGACAAAGGAAATCAGAAGATCTGGCAATGCTGGGCCTGCTTTCCCACAAGGCCAAGAAATGCCCATGCACTTACTTGGGGCTTGTGTGCTCCAATCTGCCAGAGATCCCCCATTCCCTATTACTCCTGAGACTGGGTATCCACTACCATTTATCAACACCAGTCTGCTTTGCTCACGTGCATTCCTTACCCAGCCTTTTTAGGCATCTAAAATGCAACCACAGATTTAAAAACTCTGGTTAGTAGAGCTTTGTTAAGTTTTATTCAGTCTCAGAACACAGAATTCCCATAAGAGCTCAAAGATACTCACAGGTGTTGTTATACCCTCCCAAAACACCTACAAAACCCTACAAAAAACAAAATACAATATTTACTGGCAGCTCTTCTGTTCTAGCAACATATATGAATCACTGAAATGTCCCAGTATTTTCCCTTATTTCTATTCCAATTCTGTTTTTAGGAAGTAGCTGGCCTAAAGTTTAATAGATTTAAGGGCTGTGCTTTGATTGTATATATGTAACAATTTAGGCAGCATGGAAACTTTGGTCTGGTATCTGCCAACAGATACCAAACTGTTGCCAACTGCCAACAGCAGTCTCCAAAATAATTAAAAATTTGTTATACATGGCTATGAATAGTAATGAACTAAACTAATTTCAAAGGTGAAAAACACACTTCCCTCAGAAACAAATTTCTTCATTTCTCTACCTCATCTAATGCACTAGTTATGGTTTGAGGGAGTCCTTTCAATGGACGCGCAGGCTCAGCGGCCACGGCTCACGGGCCCAGCCGCTCCGCGGCATGTGGGATCCTCCCAGACCGGGGCACGAACCCGTGTCCCCTGCATCGGCAAGCGGACTCTCAACCACTGCGTCACCAGGGAAGCCCCATGGTAAAACTTTTAAAATGAGTCACCTAATAGCAGATTTTCTATATTACAGAAAATGGTCAGCTTATCTGGGACTTAAAAATCAGATTGGGATAAGAAAGACAACTTTACGTGACTCTGAACAAACAAAAATAATGCTGAGAAATTTCAAATTTCATTAGGGAACTTTTCAGATTCTCTATGATTGTACATTTCACAACTCAAGTTTGTTTGTTTGCTTTTTTTGGCCACGCTGTGTGGCATGCAGGATCTTAGTTCCCCCGACCAGGGATCCAACCCTTGCCCCCTGTATTGGGAGCACGGAATTTTAACCACTGGTCCGCCAGGGAAGTCCCACACCTCGAGTTTTTAATTAAATGCAAGATTGGCACATGTGTTGTCATTCTCACATAAATCAGGAGACAGAAGACGGTACCTCAGTGTGAATAATGTTACAGTGTGTCTCTTCCATCTTCATCTGGTCTGGAGTTTTACAACCAGGAATAAAAAGCAACATATTGGAAGTGTCTGCTATTTTCAAGTCATATGTTTTGTCTTTACTGCACAGAACGGCCTTCTCATCCTTATCACCACGAATCACAAGGCTGCAGGAAAGTGGGAAAAGAAAATACTTGGTTTACTGAGACACCAATGGACATCTTCATTATAAACAGTTCCAAAATCCCCTAGGCTTCTAGAATTTAAAGCTAAGTCTTAAGGCTGTGTCTGGCCCCTGCTCTCACAGCCCTCCCATGAGCTCCACAGAGCAAGGCCTGGGCCAATTGAGACCCAGAGGGGCAGCCGGTGCCCTCACTAAGGAAAAATAATTCCACATGGGCAAAAAAGATCCAAGGAGGCCAAGAGGCCAAATGTTACCACGTGGCATCTTTGTGCAAACTGCTGGGAAAAGCTTCCAAAAGCTTCAGTCAAGATTTCACAACTTTCTAAAATTACTGAAGCAATACTTCTCAAACTTATGTGTAGGCACGTTAGGGAACCCTGTTAAAAAGCAGACCAGGATGCAGTATGCCTGGCATGGGACCTAGGACTCTGCATTACTAATAAGCTCCCAGATGATGACCATGCTGCTGGTCCTGGTACCCACCCAAGAGCTGTCCTTGTTTTGGCCTGAGTATCCCCTAACAATCAAAGGAGCACAACCTGGCCTAATCGTCACCTATGCTGCAAAGAAATCGGGACCCTGAGAAAAGAAAGCTGCAATGTTGAATGAAAAATATGAAAATGGTATGTTTACAAACTAAACTAAATGATGTCTCTGACAAAGGGTCACAGATGGAAAAAAGCAAGAAGAAGGAAGAGGGGAAGGACAAAAGTGAGGAGGTGGAAGAAGAAAAATGATAAAGATAATGGAGATGACAAAAAAGGAGCTGATTCTAGTAGTTTTCCTTGTCTATAAAGTATTTAAACCTCCTGTACACAATTCATTTCTTTTAAATAAATAATAAAAAACCTGAAATAGAAGACTGAAAATATTTTTTTAAAACCAATCCTTTGAGGCTTCCCTGGTGGCACAGTGGTTGAGAGTCCGCCTGCCAATGCAGGGGACACGGGTTCGTGCCCTGGTCCGGGAAGATCCCACATGCCGCGGAGTGGCTGGGCCCGTGAGCCATGACCTCTGGGCCTGCGCGTCCGGAGCCTGTGCTCCTCAACGGGAGAGGCCGCAACAGTGAGAGGCCCGTGTACCGCAAAAAAAAAAAAACAACAACTAATCCTTAAGTGAAAATAAAAGGTTTTTTAAAGCTTCTTGGTGCTAACAACATTTAATAGTCCCAAGTACCTACTCTTAACATTTATTTCCACGTGGCACTATCCCTGCTTTCAAATATTTCGTTTAAAACAACTACCCCTTCCCTCTACAAAAAAAAAAAAAATTAAAACACACATTTTCATTCTGGTTTTTGTCAGCTAGATTAACTATAACTGGACAAAGAAGGTCCTCGCACCTGAAGTCTTTTCTCAAATTCCTGCCAACTCAGCTGGGATGAAAACCCATGAGTGACGTTCTCCTTCAGTTCCCTTAAAGATACGTTATTGCTAGCATCTGAAGACTGGCCAGTTAACTATAACACGGCTAGATGAGTAAAGTAGGCAAAGTGAAAGCCTGAAAGATTCAATTAAAAAAAACATAAAAGAGAACAAACGATACCTAATAAAATACAGGTGTGAGAGGAACAACAGAGCAGAACAGAGTTAAACCAGAGTCCCTAACTCCTCATTTCCCTCATTTCCAGGGACTGCACAAAGTTGAGAGAACGGACTTCTCCTGTTTTTGCTTTGTTTTGTTTTGTTTTTGCGGTACGCGGGCCTCTCACTGCCGTGGCCTCCCCCGTTGCAGAGCACAAGCTCCGGACGCGCAGGCCCAGCGGCCATGGCTCACGGGCCCAGCCGCTCCGTGGCATGTGGGATCCTCCCGGACGGGGAACGAACCCGCGTCCCCTGCATCGGCAGGCGGACTCTCAACCACTGCGCCACCAGGGAAGCCCTCCTCTGTTTTTCAACCCATGGTCTTGCAGCAAATGTGTAGCTGACCTAGAATTAGAAAACAGCTTCCGATCCCCACTGAGCGACCCCAAGCAAGTCTGTTTCTTGAGGGCCTTCCACAATTACCAAGTCTGTAAAAACAGCTTTACACTCATTCCCCCCAAGTCCTATCTACTGAGTAAAATACATATAAGTAGCAGGCAAGAGGGACTCCATAAATACTGGATATTACCATTGGACTTTCAGAATGGCAAAGCGTTCTGTGCAGTGCCTGGTCTCACTGTTAACATCTCCAAAACTTCCCCGAGGTTCTATTTCCGGACTTGTTTCCGCAGACAGAGGCCTCCAAGACCAGCCGGACTAGTCCAGCTAACTGGACGGATTAAAAGTGGCGCGGACTCCTCGGGAAAAGGCAGCCAGCTGGGGATCAGGTCACCGACCTGCTGCGAGGGACCTGGTCAAATCAATGCACCTCTCTGGCCCAGTTTCCCCATCCTGTGTTTTCCCGCAGGAAAATCAGAAGGTGGATGGCACGAGGCTGGAGGCGGCAGGTCCCGGCCCCGGCTCACCTGTGTCCTGCCTCAAGCTGCTGGCACAGCGAGGGCTCCAACTCGAGCAGGCAGAAGTCGCCGGCGGCTGCGCTGGCCCCGGGGCCGAAGCCCAGGCAGTGCACGGTGGGCAGCAGCTCGGCCGCGTTCAGCTTGGCGATCTGCAGGGTCGCGTCCACTTCGTCGCGGGTCCTCCTCATCGCTGCGCGGGGTCGGGGGGGGGGGTCCCGCGGTGCGCGAGGGGCCGCAGGTTTAAGACACGAGAATGAAGCTCCCCGGGAGGCCGCGACCCGGCGAAACAAGAAATAGAACTGTGCCTGTTTTAAAAGCGCGCCTAGGCGGCTGGGGGCGTGTTTCCGGGGCGGAGCGTGCCGCGGGGGCGTCCCCGAGAGAGTCCGAAAGCTTCCCGGACTCGTGCCCCGCCGAGGCCTGCCGGGTCACCCCAGGCCGAGGAGCGGCTGCTGGAAAGAAACCCGGCCTCCTCGGGGAGCTCTCGGCGGAAGCTGGCGGGAGATGAGCTGCGACCCCGCGGGGCGCCACGTGGAACCTTCCTCCACCGCTTCCGCTGCCCTCCTCCCCGCCCTGTTTCCTGCCAATACCCCCATTTCCTCGCCATCAAAATAGTCGCGTTTTCCGCCAGTGGCGGGTCTTGCAATAAGCACTTTGCATGCATAATTTCATGAATACTTCACCACAGCCCTGTGAAGTGGACCCTTTTAAATACCGTTCTGCAAATGAGGAAGCAAACTCCTTACCCCAGGTGGCACAGCCAGGAGGTAGTAAAGTCTGATTCCAGTCTCGTCTATTACGGCTCGAAAAATACCGCACCGAGTTTGTGCAAACACCTTGGACCGGGAGTGAGGTCCTGGTAGAATTGCACAGGACATCTCACTTCTTTGGGTCTGGGGACTACTCATTATATCTGGGAATCTATGGCTCGGACTAGATCCATCCATTCGTTGAGTACCTAGTCTGGGCTGGGTGGCAGGTGAGGGGCTGAGACCCCGTGTCAAGAGGAAAGCACCTTCCTGAGGTGGGCAAGGCCCTGCAGTGTCCTGGGGAGACAAACTCACCACTACAGGATGTGTAAACTGCTCCCTCGGCTTTCTCTAAGGTGTCTTCTAATACATCAAGATAAGATCTTCTACCAAACCTAGATCTTAGGCTGTGCTGAATGTAGCATTTTTCCCCGAGCAGATCTACACAGGCTCACATACACGGTATGCAAGTTTAGATGTAATATAAATATTTGACTACTTCTCTTTTTTTCTCTATTTATTGAACATTTTTGGTTTTGTTGCTTCTTATTTTTTCACTGTCCCTCATTAAACTGATTTTGTTTGATTTTTTTTTCCCTCTGGCGATTTGGAAGGTCTATATCCCGCCTCATCTACTACTGCTTCCCTCTTCCTCTTCAAGGCTTCCTCCTAACATCAGGCACACAGGCTTACAATAAGATCTTTCGGTGCCTCCCACCATTTGGGCCTCTGTTTGTCTGGCATGTTCTTCTCTTGCTGAGCACGTGTCTTTTATTTATTTTACTTTTTTGCCATGTGGCTTGTGGGATGTTAGTTCCCTGACCAAGGACTGAACCCGGGCCCTCACAGTGAAAGCACAGAGTCCTTGCTGAGCACTGTCTGACAGAACTTCCTGAGATGTTGGAAATATTCTATATCTGCACAGTCCAATTTGGTAGCTACTAACCACAGGTGGCTTTTGACTGCTTGGAATGTGGATAATGTGAATGAGGAACTGCATTTTATTTTATTTTTAATACGTATTTATGTATTTATTTGGCTGCCCTGGGTCTTAGTTGTGACATGCAGGATCTTCGTTGCGGCATGCAGGATCTTTAGTTGCAGCATGCAGGCCCTTAGTTGCAGCATGCATGTGGGATCTAGTTCCCTGACCAGGGATCGAACCCAGGCCCCCTGCATTGGGAGCTCAGAGTGTTACCCACTGGACCACCAGGGAAGTCCCTGAATTTTAAATTCTACTTTAGTTAATTTAAATTTAAATAATCACAGGTGGCTAGTGGCTACTACACTGGATCATTCAACTCTGGGTCAATAGTCACTTCTCAGAAATCTTTCTCTGACCTCCCTGATCAGGTCAAGCCTGTCAAATATATATCTCATGCCAAAGGTACCTCTCATGCCTAGATTTTAAGTAAGTTGTAATTTTACATTTGTGTAATTACTTAATGTGGGGTTTTTTTTGTTTGGTTGGTTTTTTTTTTCTCTAAGACTGTAAGCTATAAACTTCACTAGGATATGTTTTCAGTCATCATTAAGCAGAGTGCCCAGCACATAATGGATCTTCATATATATTTGCTGAACAGTTGAATGAGTGAATAAATGAATGAGTTGTGATAATGTTTACCTCTAAGGAGGGGCGTGCAGGGGGACATCAAAAAGGATTTCTGGTTTTTCTTTACTGTATAAATTTTAACACTGAGAGCATATACATGCATTAAACATGTGTAATAAAATATATTTAAAATATTTTTCCTCAGTATTACAAAACCTGACATATGGAGACTTTCTTGGCAGTCCAGTGGTTAAGACTCTGCACTTCCACTGCAGGGGGCACGGGTTCAATCCCTGGTCAGGGAACTGAGATACTGCATGCCTCATGGTGTGGCAAACAAAAAAAAAAAAACCTGACATACAGACAAATAACTTCAACGGACAGGTAATAAATCATACATGAGTGAGGAGGGGAGGGAAAAGGGAGAAAAAGAGTTCCTGGCACAGATTGAAGGGAGACAAGTGTAGAAGGAGACTAGTAAGATCTTAAATGGTTGATGAGGGTGGCTGGGCTTGAGAAATAATTTTTGAGATTGAAAGGACAACAGTGGCTACTTGATTAGACATGGAGAGTAGTAAGAGAGGGAAAAGAATGAAGGATGAATTCTAGATTCCTGCATGAGCAACTGCATCCCCTCATTTACAACATATTGTAGGAAGGGTAGGAATAGGTTTGGAGTCAGATGAGTTCTGGATTTGATACTTGGAGATTGAGTTGCTGTGAGAATATACATGTGAGGATCTAGAACTTGGAGTTTGAAAAAAGGTTTGGCCAGGAGCTAAAAGATAAAGCTTTTAAATGCACATATATGGTAATTACAAGGGTGCCTGTGAATGAGATGGGAGCTGAGCAGGACCCTGTGGGACCTTTCCAAGGACAGACACACACCCCCCATCCCCTCTTCTCGTTTATAGATGAACTTTAGCCTCCTAGGCCTTTACCTAGTTCCAAAGAGCAAAGTTAATCAGAGAAGTGAGATAATACAGAAACAAAGGAAAACAGTCAAGCAAGACAAAATAACAATGGTTTAGCCATCAAACAAAATCAAGGACCTTTAGTTCCTCCTCAAGGGCTACAGATAATATCCTGAACCATATCCTTGAGTTGTTTTGCCGATACTAAAACCCCCATCAGGTTGAAGGAGCTAACTGCTGACCACCAGCACATAGACCCCAGACCAGTCGGAACAAGGTTGATGATGTTGACTCCTGAAATACTACCCAGTTACCCCGCCACCACCCAATCAGAAGAGTTGTATGTGAGTTGATTACACATCCTATGACTCTCTTCCTCACACTGTCTTTAAAAACCATTTCCTGAAAAGCCGTCAGAGAGTTTGGTCATTTGAGCATGAGCTGCCTGTTCTTGTTTAGCCCCATGTTGAGCACCTTGCAATAAAGCTGTACTTTGGATGAAAACTCGGCCTCTGTGCACTGGTGCCAAATAGAATCTCAGAGACAGAGTTTTGGGTGAGGTAGAAAAGAATAGCATTATTGCTTTGCCAGGCAAAGGGCGACACAGTGGGCTTGTGCCCTGAAAAACTGTATGCCCCAACCTGGGAGGATTTGGTGAGTTTTATAGCAGTGGCTCGAGGGTGGAGTTGCTGATAAGGATCAGGGTGTGCGCAGGGCCTGCACTCCTTTAATCTGGCCTCAGTTGTTCTCCTGATGAGCTTCTCCAGGATATCAAACTGTGACCTTCTCTGGAATGAAGAATGCTAACATCTTCCATTTGTTGGGGGTTTTAGTTCTGTAAAAGAGCTCAAAGATATTGTTGTGTGTATTCCCTTGAAGGGGAGCCAGGACCCTGCCCCAAAGCTGCACTATTGTTTCTTGGCTCTCCTCCCTTGTCTCTGCATCCCTTCCCTTCCCTGATTAGCAACTGTTTGAAAGGCTTCTGTGCCCAGGAGTCCCACAGGGTCCTGCTTGGTTTCACTTTTCTTCACCACAACCTGGTGTCAGTAGATTGGCTTTGCTGCACATCAGGCAAGCAGACCCAAGTTTGGTGTGGTAACAAGATCACCCAGCAAGAGTGTTATGTTCAACTAACAACTGGACTAAAGATGAAATCTCACCAAACAGTGGAGGTGGAAGCCTTGAAAGAAATACCTCCCTGGAGGAAAGAATTGCACATGGTAGGAAAAACAGAATAGTGTCTTGGAAACCACATTACCTTGTATTTACTTAAAATCACTTCAGGTAAGGAAGTGCTGATTCACAGCAAGATTTATTTCATTCTGTGGGAAATACAGTAGTTTAGATTTTAACTTCATATCCTTTATTAATTAAACATTTTAGGCTTTGCTTGTAGAACAGGATTTTCCCCACTAGATGGTGGTAGTGTTTCACGTTTCACAGAGTAGCCTGCTTTGCCGTTTTGTTCTCCATTGCCTTAGAAAAGAGAAGACATATCTATTAAATATTTACTGAGTCAAGCACTCAGGTGTGTATCCTGTATACATTATCTCTGCAGTCCTTGCAATAACGTAAGTCAGATCACAGCATTCCTCTGTTCAAAATCCACCAAAGGATTCTGATCACTTTCAGAATAAATTCTGACAACTTAAAGAAAAATACACAATGAAAGAGTTGTGAATTTCAGTTTTATTCAGGATCTTAATGAGAACTAGAGCCTGGGAGACAACCACACAACTCTGAAGAGGTAGGGGAAAAACCAGTTTATACACGATTTTTGGCTAGGAAATATGTGCAGTCAATCATACATCTTGGTAAAAGATGACTGCTGATATCTCTAGTTAATGATTTTAATGCTTTTCTGTGTATGGGAAGATGCAATAATCTAGCATCATTGAAATTCTTACTGAGATATGCATCTATCTAAGGCACTGCTCATCCAAAGCATAGAATGCCTCATCTTGTTTTTCATCCGGAATTCCTTTCAGGGTGCACTGGCGGTGGTCAATGACAGTGGGTTATGACTTTACCCTTATAGAGCTGGGTGGTGAGCAATGCACTTTGTCTTATTGATCTTAATTTTTCTGTGTCCACAGCCTCAAAGTCCTTATCAAGGCCCATAAGATCTTATACAATCTTCATCCCCTCCCCACCCCCTCACCCAGGTGCCCCTGCTATTCCCTTAATTTACAGGAGGCACTGCTGCCTCACGACTCCTTTGTTTTTAAATCAACTTTATTGAGTTACGATT